ATGTAGCCCCTCAAAAGGATCCCAAGTCTTGGAGCGAGTGGAAGCTAAGGAACCTTAACTTTACAGCTAAAATCCTTAAGTTATTGATATACTATTCCTTTGTTCCTTGCAATTCCATTAATATTATTTGGTCCTACAATACTACCCCACACAAAATTTGTTCTCTATGATATATATATGCAACAAGCCAACAACATCTAAGCATATCCTTTAATTTTGTGGCCCAAATTACAAGTGATCTACAATATATACGAAATCAATACTACTAGTATATTAGTATATTACTAATATTAGGCATATATCTTGCATGTAAAAGTGTAATTGTTGCTTTCATATGTAACAAATATATCTTGGAACATATTATATGTAGAAATTTATTGTTATTCTTCTAGTACTTCTTACAAGATTTTTCCTTCAAATTAATTGTAATAAGGCTACAATTTCTTTGTTATGTTTGTGGCATAGTTTCGGACAAGCCGACAAGGACAACGGATTCTATATTTTGTGATTAATAGATCAGTACATAGTACGGAGTACAAAACAAGGAATATATATATATATATATATATATATATATATATATATGTATTTTTTTTCTCAAAAAATTATTCATTCTTATTGTGCAAATATTTCATGGAGCTAAAGACATGGAGTATAATGCTATAATCATGTGCAAGTTATATATTGTGGCTATAATTTTGCATATCTTCCTCCAATCCCCAATCATTTATTAATTTGTCATGTGTTCGTTACTTCAATTTGTAGTTTAGCTTGTTAGTATTGTACTTTACAATGAGCTGCTTGTGCAAGAAACTTTTTTTTTTTTTTTTAATATATATTTTTTTTGTTTTACATTTAAGTGATGTACGTTAACCTAACTTACACAACCATTTGAAACCCCCCCCCCCTTATACAATCAAAAAGCTACTTAACTGAGAGATCAACTCATATGATTAATTACTACCTGCTTTGATTTACGGAACTGAACTGAATTGAATTGAACTGATTGGAGCTAAACTAAAGTAAACTCAATATTTTATGAGATAAGAAAATTAGGAACTGAACTGAACTGAAATTAAACCGAAGAGCACATGCCATAGACTTGCAAGCAATTCATGATAACTTTCTACCTAATGAGTATTTTCTTTAATAGTGTAAGTATTGACAATTTTATTTTGGAAGATTGGAACTTGAATTTTTTATATCTTTAATAGATGCATGGAGTGAAGAAATAATGAATATACATGCAATTTTCAATAAATGCCTATATGAACAATGATCTTCCCTATATACTCCGTATATATCTCTATTCAAATTTAATAGTTACACCAACCTGTGTAGATAATTTAATGTGATTGCCTATATATTGATGTCACACTTAAAAGTACATAATACTCCAATCGATAAAAGGGTGGGTCACTTGGAATAGACGTCACCACTAAGGGTCTGTTCTGATTTACTGAACTCAGCTGAATTGAATTGAATTGAATTGTTTTTGAGAGAAGAAAATTAGAAACTAAACTGAACTGAACTGAAATTAAGTTGAAGAGAACATACCCTAAGGTGAGGGCTTCTGTGTTGGACACCTCTTCGTAGACGACAATGTATATTATTTATACCACTGTTGGTTTTGGTTTTTTCCCCTAAAATTTATAGAGGATGCAGGTAAGATAGAGAAAGAGAATAGAAAGGGAGGAGAGAGAGAAAAGGGAAAGAGGTGAGATCGTGAGATGAGATGAGGGTGGCTAGGGAATGAGTAGTACAGATGGCGGCGGCTGATTGCCTGATTGGTGGTTTATTGTGTAGGGTGAAAGAGAGGGGGAGAAGGGCAAAGCCCGCAAAGGTGTAATTTACGTAGATAGTAATTGGTCATCTATTTCAGACAATAAATAACAGTGAATTAAAATGTACCCCGTACAAAATAGGTCAAATAACTAACATGTCATTATAAATAGGCATTTTATAAATATATAGTCAAATTCAATCATACAAAATGATGTTATAATAATCCAACTAAAATCATATTAAACCATACAATAAAAGGCTTAAGGTATTTGAGTAGCAAAGTGCTTATGAGTTATGACCTCATTATAATCTGTAAATAAAATACTTTCTGATAAGTAGATAAAAAGTAGGTTCGGTGGAGTTTCACCCTAAATATTATAGGCGATTAGAGCTCAGACAACTTTGCATTTCAAGAATCTCCGATTAAGGGGCCGATTGGTGTTTGGGTGGGGTTGAACTTGACAAGCCTTTTCTCTTAGTAGTCTAGTAGGGCAAGGGTGACATATATGGCAGTTGAGGGCATTGGGAGGACAAAGTATCAAGCTTTTATATTAATTGCATGGACTGACTGACATATTTAATACAGGCTTTTAGTGAGTCTGCTAATTAAAGCACATGTTTCTTAAGTTCACTTCTATGCCAACACCCTACGGCCCTCCGTACGTCTTCAACTGCATGTGTTTTGGTTTTTCCATACTCTTTTCAGCAATCTCTATTTTTAAATTTTATATTTATTTTTTTTAAAATAATGTTTTAAGCAACAAGTAATAGTTGACTAGTTGTTCTAAATTTTAGGAATCCCTTGCCTTACAAAAAATACAGAGACAGCTGAAATTAATTGATCAGTATTGTTTTTGTCCACTGATGCAAGAGAAGCAATTATGCATGTTATCAATTAATACTGTATATACAATTTATAAAATAAATAAATAAATAAAAATAAATTGCCCTAAGCTAGTGTTAGTAGTGTATGCTGATTAATTTTTGCATTTGTTTTTCCTAGCCTTCGCCAAATGGTGCTTATCCAATTTTGAAAGAATATAGAGTAAATAAGGGTCTGTTATGATTAACTCAACTGATTGAACTAAAATGAACTTATTGTAGCCGAACTGAACTGAATAAATTATGAGATAAGAAAATTAAGAATTGAACTGAACTGAACTAAATTTATTGGAGTTTAGCTGAATTGAACTGAACTGAACAGAAAAAAAATTGAAGAGATCAGACCCTAATGTTATGGAATATGTACTTAACTTAGTAACTTACATGACTATATACCACTAAAAAAGCGGAACCCCAATAATCTAAGCTAGCTAACATCCTTCGCGACAAGCAAGATTATCCGATTGAGCACCTTTTAATACCCTTTCCTTTCTCCGTTCTAATTTCTTCTTTTGTATATTAGTAAGTATTTACTCCAACCCATGAATCCAACTAAAAATATTTAGCACAATAACACCAAGCCAAAGGCAATTATTCGGATTAAGATTAATGTGTGCCTTTTAAAATTAAACCATGCCAAAATTGTCAATCACTAGGAGTAATGGCTTAACTTTTGCCTATAATGTTGTCCTTTACGGCTACCTATTAGTTTTATCGTCTTTGACAAGAATGTGCACAGATAATACGTCAAATCGTTATAGTTAAATTTCAACTTGAATATAAAATTTATTCCTTCGTATATATATGTAACAATTGCCTTATTTTGAGAACCATGAGAAAAGTTAAAATCGTAAATGATAAGCTAATGGAGTATGTTTTTATAAGTTAATAAAATCGTACAAATAATACTAAAAATTAACAGAGGTAGTATGACAATATGACATACTTTAGGATTCAATTACATATCAGTACACTTTTAATATGGTACTCTTTACTTACTATCTACAATAATGATTTTACAAAAGTACCGACAATTAGCCTCATTGATAATCTTATATATAAATAAAGAGTATGAAGACCTAACTTTAAAGACATATATTATTTTATTTTTCTCTTATATTTATTATTATTTATAATTAATCATAATGAATATTGACAATTCGACATTGTTTTCAATATATTTAGAAATTGAAATTAGCAAATAATTGACAAGCCAAAATTTATCGTCTAGTTAGGGCAAAGAAGGATCCTATTGGAGGGAGCATGGACGGTCATTTTATTGATGTTGGACAATGTCGTGGTGAACAAGTCAGAAAATAACGTCAATTGTATAAACATGTGATTATATAATTTCTCCGTTGCAGACACGCCCCATGGCACATATTTTAAGGGAGATATTAGATTAGTAAACGAATAAATTAATTTACAAAAGTTTACCACGGATAAGAAGAAAGGGATAATTGGTTTCCAAAAAAAAAAAAAAAAAAAAAAGAAAGGGATAATTTGCTATGATTTAAATTTCATAGCTTAATTTATTCATTTACCTAGTGTAATCACAACCTCAAAAACCGTGATAAAAGGTGTGTTGTAACTATAAAAAAAACAGATGAAGTATATGTTAACATTCTTCACTTACGAAATTTATTTCAATAAATTCCGTATTGGTTAAGAGATGTAAGGAGTGACTTCTGAGTGGAATATTCTCAATGTCCTAAAATATTTGACACGGTCAAATTCGGCCCCCATACCAATACAATAATTTAACGTTAAATATATATAATTAAATAGCAATAAGAAATAAATGTATAGAAGTTGATAACATGAACTTTTATATTGATGTTTATGTAACAACATATCTCATGATAAAATTATGTTATAAAAAATCTTAATATAAGAAAATTTGTGAAAAAAAAAAGTCTAATGTGTGAAGTATCATTTTTGACAATTAAATATATGATTTAGTCATGGATTCCATTATTTCCATGCAAATAATGGTTTTAAATATTATTAAGGGTAGTTGATTATTATAAGTATTACGTAGTAATAATAATTTGAAGTATAACAATAAGGAGTGGAAAGACTCATGTTGTAATTTTTTTCTTAAAAAATAAAAAATAAAATCATGTTGTTAGTAGAAAGAGTCATGTTGTGGTATTGGTCAAAAGATGGGGGGTTTTCTGTATTAGACTACATTTCACATCATATGATTAGTTTTGTTTTTGTCAATGGTATGTAGTTTTTGTTGTAGGGTGATATCAAATGGGGTACTTGGTGTACTGTGGAAGTGATATGCCTTCAATAAAACTAGAAAAGGTATAATAACTTGCATCATATAGCTAAAGAATGAATTACAACTGATACAGTTCAAACTAGAAATATGACAGTATTTCAGGACTCAGGATATAAAAAATTACAAGATTTTTCATGAAAGAATCATATTGAACTAGTTATAAACAGCAAAATGAAGTCTGAGAAAGAACTTCATCTTTGTTACAATATCCTCATCAAGTGGGGAAAGAAAAGGTATTATGAATTAAGGAAACTCGAACCTTAAACCCTGATGGCCTCCGGTAGGGGGACTGATATTAATCCAAAGCAATGAGATGGTAATTGAAAGTAGCCCTGACCAAACGTAGACTATTGTAGGAACCCTGCCACTTCGCCCCATCAACCCTTTAGCGAAAGGATACAGATGGCATAACACCCAGAAGCTGAAGAACACACCTCCTAGAAGCTTACTCCATTCAGGAAATGGACTATATAAAGTCCTAGCAGAACCCACAGCAATAGCAATCATGTTAATCATCATGATTGTTATTGGAGGAAGCATTAGGAAGCTCCATTTGACTATATATAGATCAGCAAACTCGTCTTCAGCATCATCTGGAGTAGCAGATTTTGAGGTTAGTGTGAAGGAAATGTCGACTCCTGCTATGACTTTGAGTAAACCTTGAAGAACAGCAGCAGGGTGTGCACTTGTTCCTCCAATGAGCCAGAACTGCTCGTTCCTCCACCAGTCGTGTAGGGTGATTCCTGACCACTTGATCTCGAGGAGGGCAAGCATACATAAGGACAGGGATACGAGCAGCAGCAAGACCAGGAAGGTTACATTGAGGGATTGGACTATGAATTGTCCTGAAAAGAGTGAGAGGGCAGGGAGGAAGCAATAGACAATTAGGAACATAGAAGTGAAAGGGTATAAACCGACATTTAGGTATGCCACCCTTTGCAAAAACTTCATCCTCCTACTAGCAAAAAGTGCATTGTTTTTTGAGAAGAAGATCTCCACTGAACCAGTTGCCCATCGAAGAACTTGATGAAGGCGGTCAGTTAGATTAATTGGGGCAGTCCCTCGAAATGCATCCTTTTTAGTCACACAGTAAATGGACCTCCATCCTCTATTGTGCATTCTGTAACCTGTCACAACATCTTCTGTTACAGAACCGTATATCCACCCTACTCGTTTACCCCACTCAGTTCTATCCTCGTAGAAACAGGAGATAACACTAATGGCCTCAGCGACAGTAGCAGCATCTAGAGGCTCTCGAGGGACAGCAAGTGATCCTGCAGGCCTCCCTTGGTTACCCTTGCCTTGGAGATCCTGAAGAAGCCTGCCCTGGTATTCTGCTACTGGGATAGATGCAGCTAAAGAAGTGGAATTTCCGAATCTCTTAGGGAGGAGCAATGACTCAATGTCTAAATCATCATTATCTTCTTCATATCCTCCAACTGGTAAAGCAATCTCTTCAGGGTTTGGTTCTTTAGCCTTCTTTCGTAGAAGCAATTTGAACTTTCTCGAGCCAAACCATCCATGATGTTCAGTAGCCCTTGGAGGACTGAACCCATACAATGCAATCCTCCGAAAAATGCAGCCTGTACCAACATACATTGGGCCTTGTAACCCATCATAAGCTCTCATGGACACATCAAAAAACACAGTGTTGTGGTTTGCATAACGATCACTGGGATCAATCCCTTCAAACCTTTGAGGGAATTGCACATAACAAATTCTATCACCACCCCTGTCAAGCATAAAGCACATTCCTTCCCTCAAAGCCAAGGAGTTGTGGATGTAGTGATCACAGTCGAGGTTGAGGATGAATGGACCGTTGGACATGATTGCACTAGTCCTTACTAGTGCATTCATAGCTCCGGCTTTTTTGTTGTGATCATAACCTGGTCTTTTCTCTCTTGACACGTATACTAGCATGGGAAGGCGTATGTCTACTTCGGTTGAGTCTATCAAGTTCTCAGCATCTGCTTCTGAGCCATACACTGGTTCAGAGTTTGGTGGTGCTAGCATAGCCTGCAGATAAGAAAGGATCAGTATTCTAATGATATAAAAAACTCAGCTTAGTTATGAAGCATTATAGAAGTGGTCATGCTACCTGAATTTCACTTTGCTGGTGTAAATGCATGCCTAACATTGTATTCAATTCTAATGATTCAGCACTCATTATAGCATGAATTGTAAAAATCTGACATTTTAGGCATAAATCTAGTCATTTACTTAACTATTCTTTATTTAACATTCTATCCTATGGCCAACTATGTTTATACTTCAAGCTAATTTGAGATATAACAATGTTAAGGTTACTAGCATTAATCAAATTGCAATGTCATGATTTAGAAATTTGTATACAGCTAGTAAAATTTCGATTTTCATCATAACAGAATATGTTAGTTTTTGAAAGAGCAAACATTAACAAATTGAATGAAGCAAGAAAGTAACAAACTTTCGATTCCAAGGCCAAGTTTTAAAAATAAAGTACCTGAATGATACCAGCATGATCACCTCTAGAGTGATCAGGTTCAGCAGAAGACCAAGTTCCAGGCCAGTGAGAACCATCAGACATCCATATTCCCTTAACAACCTTTAGTGGTTCAGCAAGGTTTCCTCCCATTTCCATTTGTTTCTTCTTAGCGCGAAGCTCTTCATGGGCGTTGTAAGCATCAGACCGTCTCCTGATAGACTCCGGTAATGAGTTAATCCTCACTTTAAACTCATCATACTCTCTCTTAACACGTCTCCTCTCTCGAACAAAGTCCAACCTGACTTTGTTCTTAAGAAAATCCTTCTTCTGTCCAAAGTATACCTCAGGATTTCTTGGCTCTATACTATGCTTTCGACAGAAAGGCACCCAAGTTCTGGCAAAACTCGCAGTCTCAGCTAAGGCCTCGAATGTCAGAAGTGCACCTCCATCATCTGACAGATAACAGGCCAACTTCTCAACAGGATAGTCTACTGCAAGGATAGAAAGAATGGTATTGGCTGTTACAAGAGGAGGCTCCTTTTCAGGGTCTGCTGTCGAAACAAAGACATCGATTCCTGGAAGATCAGATCGACCCTTTGGGTTACGAAGATTGGGGGATTCGTAACGATCTTTTAAGACAGAAAGATCAGTAATTCTGTTAACAGGACAGAGTTTAGGAAGCTGGTCTAAAAGCCAAGAGAATGCAAACCAAACTTCACAGGTAACAGACATGCCCCATAACCACATGGCTTCGCGGTTAGGATGTCGAATTCTCCAGGCAAGGAACAAGCCCAAAGCAGCAAAACGTATTACCATCAATATTCTGCATTAGATAAATTAATATGAGAATCAAACATCACAATTATAATGTCACCTTTCTAACATTGCTCAACAATGTATGTAGGTTTTTTCTAGTCAAAATGAAAAGAAAATTGCTAATTGTCGGTTGTATGATCTGTTATTATTTCTTACAGTACATCTATTGTTATTGATAAGCACCATGAAGAACATAATGCAGAATAGCTTAACACGGCATAATGGTGTAGGAAATGACATGAACTAAAAAAATAAAGGAATTTGATGAAGGAGATAGTTTGTCAGTAATTCATTCTAGTATTCCTATATCTTATCTTACAATACCCTTCATCGAAGATGTATATTATGAGATATACTATATCTTCTTATGAATAATAGTAACATTTACACTTTTTAGGATGTTCAGAAAAAGTTGTCACATTTCCTAAAATAGTTTCGTACGAGTAGTTATGATTTATGACTCAGATGTCCTAAAATGCCCTCATTTAAATTGAATGACAACGTAGATAGAGTCAAATTAAATATTACAAATGCTATTTTTATAGAAATCATTGTATATATGTGATTTGAAAAGGTTAAGACAAAATGACAACTAATTTGTACCACAAAACTATGACCGTACTTTATAACCAGCTAACGGCACATAGCTTTACTCTACAAAGAACATACTAGTAACTATAGACAGTTACATAAAGCTTAAAGCACCAGTAAAGTACAGCATCTTCTTGTGATTATGTAATTAAGATCATACTAAATACTAGTAGCAAAATAGCAATATTTCGATATTTGGTTCAAAATCCAAATAATAAATCAATACACGTATAATAGATCAATACACTAAAATCATTTTCATTTCAAATTGTAAACACCAAAATCCACAAAAGTTGCTCAAAAACAAATAACCCTACAAAAAATGTTAAAATTTATCTAGACTAAGTTAATAGTTAATTAGTTACACCTAAAGTTAGATATTTACACTAAGCATATTCTAAACTACACAATCAGAAAACAACAATTAACACAAACATAACACAAGTACCAACCAAAACACATAAAATCATCCACAATTAAACTCTAAATTAACCCACAACATAAACTTTAGATTAATATTAACAAAAATATTAAGAAATGGTAGCAAAAATATACCTATAAGGGCTGATAATAGCAGTAGAAACAGCAACCTTCCTAGTCAAAGGCTTCCTACACCTCTCCCCAAAATCAGGCGGATATTCAAACCCATTATTATTGTTATTATTGTTCACATTATTCCCTCCACCACCACCTCCACCCGCTCCGAATCCGTATCCATCTTTAGGCCACAAAGCATTACCATACCCATAAGTCCCTTTAGTCTCAAACAACCACCTATTATGATCAAAATCAGGCGGATACTTGACTGATTTCACAACCGATAACCTTTTATCCAATTTAAACTCGGCCGCCATCGAACGAAGCGGCCGAGCTTCATCCTCCTCTTCCTCCTCCATCTCCTTACTCCCACCATTTTCTCGGTCTTCTTTATCATACAATTCCTTACACCCAGGACAATGTCCACCACCTTTGCTACTCAAACAATCCAAATAACATTCCCTGCAAATTTTAAACCCACAATCACATGGATTTATAGCTTTCTCATCACACCCTTTCATCATACACTCATTCACTGATTTCCCCTGTTCTTCAGATTTCTCCATTGAACAATCAATCACATGCCCACGTGTCACCGAGTTAAACCCACCTGTGAAAATCGTACCCGAGATAAAACCCGGCCCAAATCGGGCCTGATTCAGCCCAATTCGGTCCATTGACTCTGTTTCTGCTCTGTTTTGTGAGTCAGAAATTGACGAAATTGGAGGTCTTTCTGGGGTTGGTGGGATATGAACAGTGTAAGAAACGAACTCTGAATTGAGTCCTTCTTCATCTTCATCTTCTTGTTGCCTTTTCTCTTCTACTCCGCCTTCAACGGCGTCGTTTTCTTGTTGAGTGATTGAATATCGCCGCCGTCTCGCGGAGGAGTTCCGGTTAGTTTGAGCACTAAGAGGAGAGAGAGAATGGCGTTGAATTGGACTTGTTAACCCGATATTCCGGTTTCCTCCGGTTGATGTTACCGTTATTTTCACCGGAGAACTTGATGGAGATAACGGTTTCTTTATCATTTTTTTGGGATTTCTTTCTAATCTTCAGATTTTTTGCTAAATTTCAGAGAATCTGTGAGAAATTTTCATGGAGGAGAGAGAAAATATGGAGAGAGAGAGAGAAAACAGAGAACAGGTGATAATGAAGAAGAAAGGAAGGCAGGTTATCTGGTTAAGTGGGGAAAACGGTAGAATTTTTAAAATTTGAAAAAGGGATTTTTAAGTGGGGACCATTTGAACCAACGGTCGACTAATTTGGACCGTTCAAAATGAAGAGGGGCATGATCGGACGGTTTATATGTATAGTTGAATGTCTTGAAATTAGGACAAGAAAAAAATATAGGATGAGTCAGAAAGTCAACAATATGATGACTTTATAATACAACGGTCTTATTTTAGAAAATCGGTGATAAAGCAATAAAGGCTAAAGATTGTTAGTTTTGTAATAATAAGTAAACTTAGTAAAGTAGATTTTCTTACAATTGATTTTAAAATGTTTTGAGAGGGAGTGATTCACGTTGATGCAAATCTGAGAGAATTATGGCGTGTCATGATGATGTAATTATTTTCAATCAGTTGGTTTGTATATTAAATTGTTTCCATATATGTGTAATAATATACTAATAACATGGATTATGTCCAAATGTCTGAAACGAAGTACAAAAACTTTTGTATACACCCGGTTTACACTAATATTACTGTACATCGAGTAGTATAAGGGTAAATTTTACCTAATTTTAGGGTAACTTTTTGCCTTTTTTGGGTAACTTAAAACATAATACAATTTATATATATATAGACAATAAGAAAAGTTTTATAATGGTAATTTAATTACATTCAATCACTAATAATTGATTTTTAGCCATTTAAAATGTGATTCTTTATTAATAATTTTTATTTGTATTGGATTTTTTTTATGCATATTAGGGTAACTTTTATTTATTTCAGGGGTAACTTTTGATCAAATTAGTCTATCTTTATAATGGATGTATAATAATTATTGTACACCCGATTTTTTTTAAAGTTTGTGAATGAAGTATTGTATAATTCCTAAAAAGACAAAATTGGCCAATCTTATATGTAAATTCAAATATCAACCTTTTTTATGTAAATTCAAATATCTTTTAAAAGTTAGGTTAAATTAGTTAACTTCCTACAAAAAAAAAAAAAAAAAAAAAAAAGTTCATACCTTAGTTTTTTATCATTGTAATTAATGTTTTGCCAACCTCATTGTCATCCCTGAGGTATATAGCCCATAACAAGGGTTATTAAAATCGGGATTCTACTTTGAATCGGGAGGGCCTCTCAAAATCGAATAGTAAATCGAACCGTAGAATCGTAAGATTCCACGAACATGCATAATCAAGACGTCATATTAAAATTTAATTGATAATATTTAAATTTTTAAAACCTAATTATTAATAGAAAATAGTTGTTTATCCACTTAGCAACCAATAATTGACCATATGTAAAATCGAGTAAAATCGTAAAGCGAATTGTATGACATACGTAAATCGAGTAATTATTAGATTTAAATTGGAATTTTAATAACAATGGCTCACAATGTAATAGAAATTTGCACTACTATAAATACCATGTAAATTCATATGGACACATAAAAATTACATAAGAGCATTAGCACACAAGTAGTTCTCTACATGACTACATCTCTATACTTTTACATTCTTAGTATATTGTACAACAATATCAACGTTTTAGAGGCTACTATGATCAACATTTGAAAATATGTCCGTTAATTTTGTTAACTTTCTTTAACTTGCGTTTCATCACTTGTTTGAAATTATCTAATTCATTAATTGTTTCCATATGAAAGTGTTTTTGGAAACGGAAGCCTCCTAAGCGTGTTAAAGTATTACAAGATATATCAAGATGTCCAAATGCTATTGGCTTCGCCTTGAGGTATGAGAGCTTGGCCTGCAAAACAGAGAAGGTTAGCTGCCCCGGGGGTATCATCCGGGAAAGCCCTTTAATGCTTAGTCAGTAAGAGTACTTTCTAGAGAGAGAAGAGGAGAGAATTAGGAAAAAGTTTCCATCATTAACGAATGATGAACTATTTACAGATGTACTTTTCTACTTTACAATCATTAATGATGGGCTGGACCATAGAGGGGCATTTTCGTAATTTCAGACCACTGGGCTTAGGACAATAGACTTGACCCAAACAGAAAGAGCTTTAATTTCTCTCAAAACTACAGGTCTTACAACAAACATACCAAATTGTTAGAACAATCGAAGCAAATATCACATAAGATCATACTACAATTGATAACATATTCTATTCAATTACGAAATGATTGAAAATTTCAAAGTATTGATCCAAATTCTCTATACTATGTAATTGGAAGCTAATTATAACATATGATGAAATACTAGCACTAATATATTGTCGTGTGACCCGTGAGTTATGTATTGGATATCCAATTTCATATCAATTACCAAACTTTGGTCATGAGTCATGAAATTAATAAGGTGTTGGGTTTCCTTCAAAAAAAAAAAAGGTGTTGGGTTTTAGACGAGAAAATCTAAGTTTATAACTTTGATAAACATTTGACACTGTAAAATATGGGTCATACTACAATCGATAATGTTCTATTCAATTATAAAATGATTGAAAATTTCAAAGTATTGATCCAAATTCTCTATACTACGTAATTGGAAGCTAGTTATAATCTATGATGAAATAATAACACTAATATGTTGTTGTGTGACTTGTCATGAGTTATGCGTTGGATAATGGATATATATCCAATTTCAAATATTGGGTATCGATTCTCAAACTTTAGTGATGATGAGTCATGAAATTGATAAGGTATTGGGTTTTAGGCAAGAAAATTCAAGTTATAACCTTAGGTAAACATTTGAAGTTTATCAAAGGGTAAAATAGTACAATCTTTAATTTAATGAAGGGGTATAATTATAATTGACGGTGTAATATTCAACCGAGAATGAAGATGGATAATATATAAGGATCCATAATTTCCCTGTTTTGGTGATAATCCCAGACAACTGCTTGAACTATGCTTCTGAATGATCTGCGTACTAGTCTAACTACGACGGAACAAGAAACAAAACCAGATTACTTTAAAACTGCTAGAATGGCTGCAAATGTGACTCATGTTTCACGCAGTCTTTGGATCGAATCGAATCGGATCGAGTTCGGGTCCTTATAATAATGCTTAGATACAGGAACTAGTGATACGGCATTTGATAATGCTTTTACATAGCTCTTTTATCAATAGGAAGGTATAGTAGATCAAACTAAATTGACTACAAAATTTGAAACGGCTCGACAAAGCTCCTGATGCAAAACAACACAAATTGATCGATTTTCTCGAAAATAAAGTACTGAAACTATTACAGTAAATAAAATTGTACAAAGCTACAAGCAGCTAAAGATCATTATAAATGTTCTCAAGAAAACGGAATTAAAGAGAACAAGACTTGTAACTATCAATAAATATTACACATACAATTTTCACTTATATGTAGTTGATCAATGACTTCCTTGCGTAGATTATCACCAAAAGGAAAACCACCAGGTCCTTGTTTTCTTAGAAGGTGTTGAGCTTCAGTTGAGCAAATCCGGCCATCTTCTCCAAACTGAATAAGGGTATCGGTTGTACGTTCTTCAATGAATATTTTCTTTGCCACGGAAGCTGAATGATCAGGGTCAAAGGGGCAAATCAGCCAAGGCATTATCGCAGACAGTACAGATTCGTCTTCCATTTCAGTATTACTGATAGAACTAGAATTAAGACGAACAAACACCACTTCAAAACTAGGATGCTTTGCCTTAATCTCATCATACCAATTTAACAACTTATCGTAAAGGTCAAGGACTTCCCCAAGGCAATCAAGGTAAAGAACTATGTTCCTGCCTTGGAGTTGAGACACAGCAATCTTGTCATCTCCTCGAATAACATAATCCCGTGAACCATACACCAGCAATGACTCTAAGGTGAGTTCCCTAAGCTTCTTCATTCCACGTTCAATAAGGCATTCTTTAGTGAAGGGAAATCCATCTATCCCAAAGTTGTACATGACCTCTGCTCCATACCGCTCCACATATTCATCATGGGGTCCGACAATGATGAGCTGTTGGGAGCAATAGCCGTAGAGACAGAAATCTTGAGTGAGTTTATGAAGCCTCTGGCTTACTGAATTATTAAAGGGCAATCTCAACCAATTAGTCGATATGTTCTGCTTCTGCAACTTACTATCTGCATTCGCCTTGTAGGCCTCAGGGTCAAGACAGTCATCAAAGAAATGTAAACGAGCACAATCTCAAATGCAAGATTTTTAGTCCTGCATTCCTCATACACCTCATGGAGTCTCATAGTATATCTTTTCCAACCGTTTAATAAGTACAAACCAACAACCTTCTCCCTGAGTTCCGAGATAGTGATCTCCTGCACACGGACACCTGCTGAATTAATCTTATACACAACATCAGAGGGACTGCACCCTAAAAGCCCCTCAAGTGTTGTCGTATATGGAGCTTCCCATGTTAAGTACTCGTATTTGTTTGCTCTGATTTCCTGCAGTTTCTCATCAGTAAAAGGAAAGACATCGGCTCCTTGATTCCACCAGTGGTCAGGATATCCACACAGTATAATGTTTCTCTTAGTATCCAAAACGAGACATTGAACACTCATATAACGCTCACTGTAAGGGTTAAAGCTAAGGCCAAGGTCAAGGTACTTACATATAAAGTCACTACGCTTTGAGTCCTTGAATGGTACTACCAGACACGAAGAGGGAAAACCCGTCAAAAAGTGATTGAAAACCAACTCATGATTCACCAATTTGTTCATCTTTACAACCACTACTATCTCAACATCACTTTTTGTGGAATACAACTCGTTACATAAATTTGCTAGACTTTGTATACCGCTTGAATATATATCTTCACGAAAGGCAGGCACATAAAAACAACAAACAATAACGTATTTTCCACTAAACACCTTCCCTTCAACCTCAACTCGCTCACCATCATTTCGTTCAAGGTAATTCAAATCACCCTCACCAGACAACAACGATACAACATCAATAGACTTACCAATCTCAATAGCACACGACTTCTGTGATTCCAACACCATGTTATTAATTTCATCCGTATATTCGGGTTCCTGAACTTTAATTTT